GAGGAAACATTCGCAGCAGAGAGCAAGCAACTGGCAGCGCCGCCAACCGGCAAAAGCTCCGCTGGAGCAGCCTCGGCCAAAGCCGGCGCAACCAAAGCCGGCGCACGCAAAGCAAGCGCACGCAAAAGCACCGCTAGAGAGACCTCGAAAGCCAGCCACGGCGCCACCGGCGAAGCCGGAGCACCCAAAGCCGGCACCTGCGCAGCCGAATTCAACACAGCCGGCGCACCCAACGCAGCCCGCGCAGCCACTGCAGCCCGCACACACAGCGCAACCAATCCAGCCGATGCAACGGGCGGACCCAATGCAACCAATGCAGCCCGCGGAGATATGGCCGACGCAAGGTCAGCACAGTGCAGCTGCTGCAGCCGACACAGGCCATGCAGCCGATGCAGGGCAGACGACGCAGCCGATGCAGCGGATGCAGACGATGCAGCCGATGCAGACGACACAAATGATGCAGACAATTCAACCAACGCAGCCAACGCAGCCTGCAGAGTCTATGCGGCCAACAATGCAGCCAACCCAGGCCAGCCCACCCCGGGACCCGATGCAGACGATGCAGCCGATGCAGACGATGCAGCCGATACAGGCGATGCAGACGATGCGGCCGATACAGTCGATGCAGCATATGCAGACGATGCAGCCGATGCAGACGATGCAGCCGATACAGGCGATGCAGCATATGCAGACGATGCAGCCGATGCAGACGATGCAGCCGATACAGGTGATGCAGCCGATGCAGACTGCGCAGACGACACAGCTGATGCATCCAGTCCAACCAATGCAGCCAATGCAGCATGCAGAGTCTACGCGGCCAACAATGCAGCCAGCCCAGGCCAGCCCACCCCGGCACCCTTCACCTGAGTTCTGCGAGAAGGTAGCGCAAGCCTTGCGACGACATTGCGGGCATCCTGGCTGCACGTGGTCCGAATAATATTGTGGCAGGCCCCGTTGTGCAGTTTTCACACATAACGTGCGGAATAGCCCAAAGCACTAGTTCCAGCGACAAGAACAAACCGGCAAAAACAGCAAAAGCGTCATCTAGAACACCAACTCGTGTGTAGACAAGTTTTGCCCTGGCAGCAACAATGCAATAACTGAAGCAAAGACTTTGCGGAAACTACAGCATCTAAGGATCGAATCTGCTGCCGCCCCACCGTGGAAGAGGCAAAAGTGAGCCTGCGAACACCCAGCCGAGGAGTATGAGGCCAAAAAAGACGATGCAGCTGCTGCGCTGTGCTTGTAGTTTGCAAGGAAATTTAAACGCTCCAAGTATTTGGCCCTCTGAGTCATCGATCTCAAGGTTGTCTTAAAGGCGTTACTCATTGTATTCGCGTAGCGCTGCGCACACGTGTTGGCACATGATAAGCACACCCGCTCAAGAGTTTCTCATGATAAGCTCGCCGTCCGATACGCAGCCGACTCGGGCCGTCGTTGTCTGACACAGCGCTTTCCGTCCGACACGTGGCCTCCGCGGCCGACTCGGGCCGTCGGGTTCTAACTCGGAGACCTTACTTTGCTAAGTTCGCTCCGCGTCCGCGGATCTTCTGGCGTGCTCGCCGTCCGATACGCAGCCGACTCGGGCCGTCGTCGTCTGACACAGCGCTTTCCGTCCGACACGTGGCCTCCGCGGCCGACTCGGGCCGTCGGGTTCTGACTCGGAGACCTTACTTTGCTAAGTTCGCTCCGCGTCCGCGCTTCTTCTGGCGTGCTCGCCGTCCGATACGCAGCCGACTCGGGCCGTCGTTGTCAGACACAGCGCTTTCCGTCCGACACGTGGCTTCCGCGGCCGACTCGGGCCGTCGGGTTCTGACTCGGAGACCTTACGTTGCTAAGTTCGCTCCGCGTCCGCGCTTCTTCTGGCGTGCTCGCCGTCCGATACGCAGCCGACTCGCGCCGTCGTTGTCTGACACAGCGCTTTCCGTCCGACACGTGGCTTCCGCGGCCGACTCGGGCACACGTTTCCGCGCCGTCCGACTCGAACACACGCGCCGGCTGACACGGACATCCGGCGCCGTCCGACTCGACCATGCCGCCGTCCGACTCGCCGCGTCCGACACGGTCACCAGCCCAACCGTTGGGTCCGACTTTCCTCAATGTTTGTGGGAAGGGTAGCTCCCTACCTGAAAGGTATTGTGTTTTGCGCTCAAAGTGGTTTGGTGGCACTAGGGTTCAACTCCCCACGAATCCAAACCACCGATTGAGAAGCTGAATGTTCATGGCCAGCTTCTTGTTTTGTAAAAGCCTGTTCAGCTACGGCTGTGTTTGGTGCATTTTGCCAAGGGCCGTTAGGACAGAATCACTTTTCGCCCACGAATTTTTGGGTTTTCGGTATTACACCACGAAAAGTGAGTCACTTTTCGCAGGGCTCCGCAGAGCTCGCCGCCGAGGTTCAGGGAACCCAAAGCGTGCGGTTCGCCCGTTGGTTTGGATCAGCCCCGGTTGAAACTGTTCGACCCCCTCGTAGTGAAGGATTCCTTCAGGGGGTCGCCAATTTTCAAAGACAGGTGGCAAAAAGACCCGGTTGTTCTTGGCTCGCTCGCATAGGAGTCAGACGCATTCTTATTCCCGAAAGCATGGCGAAGGGTTCTTCCGCTGGGTTCACTTGAGTTGTTCTCATGAGAGTCATTACAAGGTGTCATTGCAAGGAATCATCATCATGAAAGTCAATGCAAGGAGTCATTGCAAGGAGTCATTGCAAGGAGTCATTGCAAGGAGTCATGAGAGTCATTGCGAGCTGCGCGTGGAGTCAAGTGCAAGTTGCAAGTGCAAGGAGTCAAGTGCAAGTTGCAAGTTGCAAGTGCAAGTGGAGTCAAGTGCAAGTTGCAAGTGCATGGAGTCAAGTGCAAGTTGCAAGTGTAAGGAGTCGAGTGCAAGTTGCAAGTGCAAGGAGTCAAGTGCAATTGACTTGCGAGGAGTTAAAATCTCTTCTTAGGGCGGCGGGGTAGTGCCGACGACACTACACGAAAATCGACCCTCTGCGGGGATCGGCGTGGTCGAGGTGCAAAAACCCATGGTTTTTTGCGATTTCTAACCTGCTCGCGCGACCCTCTGCGGGGATCGGCGTGGTCGAGGTGCAAAAACCCATGGTTTTTTGCGATTTCTGCGCTGCTCGCGCGACCCTCTGCGGGGATCGGCGTGGTCGAGGTGCAAAAACCCATGGTTTTTTGCGATTTCTGCGGTGCTCGCGCGACCCTCTGCGGGGATCGGCGTGGTCGATGGTTTTTTGCGATTTCTAACATGCTCGCGCGACCCTCTGCGGGGATCGGCGTGGTCGAGGTGCAAAAACTCGAGGTTTTTTGCGATTTCTGCGGTGCTCGCGCGACCCTCTGCGGGGATCGGCGTGGTCGAGGTGCAAAAACCCATGGTTTTTTGCGATTTCTAAACCCTCTGTCGGCGTGGTCGAGGTGCAAAAACGGTTTTTTGCGATTTCTAAAGTTCCCGCGCGACCCTCTGCGGGGATCGGCGTGGTCGAGGTGCAAAAACTCGAGGTTTTTTGCGACTTTTGTTGCTCGAACTGGTCCTCGGGAGTTGTCTCGTGGTTCGCGCGCCTGCTCCCGGAACCGGCGGGTCGCGGGTTCGATTCCTCCCTGGTCCGCGGGCGGGCGTCGCAAGATGCAACTTGCATTTTAAAGCAACTTGCGCAGAGCAACTTGCGCAGAGCAAGTTGCACAGAGCAACTTGCGCAGACCAACTTGCACCGACCAGTTTGCGCAGAGCGCCTTGCCTAGAGCAACTTGCGCAGAGCAACTTACGCAGAGCAACTTGCACAGAGCAACTTGCACAGAGCAGCTTGCACAGAGCAACTTGCAGGGAGCGCAATTTGCACAGAGCAACTTGCAGGGAGCCACTTGCAGGGACCAACTTGCCGGAGCAACTTGCGCGGAGCAACTTGCGCAGAGCAACTTGCACAGTGCAACTTGCGTAGAGCAACTTGCGCAGACCAACTTGCACCGACCAGCTTGCGCAGAGCACCTTGCCTGGTGCTGTCTCGCGCTTGCTTCACAAATGCTTCGTGTAGGGATGCAGCGTTGGGCCGACCTCGCTTGCGATGTTCTGCTTTCGGGCCAGCCGTGGTCTAGTTTTTAATTTGTGATGCTACCCTTTTCACCCTGGTTCTTGGGGAAGCCCCGATTTTCTGGAATCGGAAGGTTTCAGAGAAGGGTTTTGGGACCTTTTTGGGGCTCCTGTTTGAGTCAATACGATCAGGGTTCAACTTGTTGGCCTGGTATCTTCAGGGGTTGATGTCCTCTCTGGAATCGGAAATATCCTTGATGTTGTTTCGCCGGGAGGGAACCTTCTGAATGGTTTTTCGATTCCACCAATCCGCGGTGTTTACTTTCCTCAAGCCATCGGTGGCACATTTTTCGGGAGGAGTTGGCCAGGATGAGTCGGTCGGCGAATCTGCCAGAGTGGGCTTCATTTTCTGTGCGGATCCCGATTGAGCGGTAGTCCGTTTGCTTGAAGAAGCCGACGCCTGGATCGCCAGTTGCTGCTTTTTTCCATCCACTTTACCCCAAAAACCAAGAACAGCGACTGAAAGAAGCAGCAACTTGGCTATCTAGGCGGTTTGTTTTTTCTGAGCGATCCCCCAATGCGGTAGTTGCTTTGCGCCTTGGGAGTTTGTTTGTTGCTTTGCTCCCGTGACAGCCCAAAACCGCCCCCCCAAAAATCCTTCAGGAATTGGTCTACAAAGCCGCAGGTGAGGTATCCGGTATCCCCCAAAAACATGTCGCACCTGAGAGTCTGGAGGATCTTCTCCGGGAGGTTCCATGCTAATGGTCTTTCAGGAGCTTCCCGGAAGGGTTCCCCTTTGAAACAAACAAGTACCCTCCCAACTAACATGGCACCTGTGGGAGGGTACCTGGAAGATCAAGTTCCTCTTGGAGGGACCCCCTGTCAGGTGCCATGTTAGTGGGAGAGAGGGTATGCCGATTCTTTTCCCCACGGAAATCCACGGGGCATCTGAGTCGGGGATGGCGCGGACAGACGCCGAGGTCAGATTCTGATGACTGCGGCCTGGCCCACCATCACGGCGATGCTCTTCGCAAGCTCTTTGGCGGAAATTGGTTCGGCTGTGGGTCAAAAATGCGTACCCAAAATGGGTTGCCCTGGTAACGGGAACCAAGGACTAAACCTGCGGTTTTTCTGGTGGTTGTATTTTGACCCATACCCATTCGCAGCCTGGGATCGCTAGTTGCGATCGCTGTTTTTCCATCCACTTCACCATCCAAAGACCAACGGTGACTGAAAAAAGCGATCGCGACTTGGCTATCTTGGAGAGTTGGCCTTTGGTACTTTGGCACCGCTGCTTTTGTTTTTGGGGCCACTGGACAGTGGAACTTGTCGTGTTTTTTTGGGTCGCGAAGGAAGGGGGCCACGGGTGACCAGGAGTTCACGCGGAATTTCTGGCCAAGGCCACTTCGTGAAAGTAACCCAAGGGGCTGGTGCGACCAGCTTCTGTGATTGGAATCTCGTATAACTTGGTGGCTCCCAGCCATCCCCTTTGCCTTTTAGCTTTTTAGTGTTTAGTGGTAGTTTCCATTTAACCCACTAAAAGTTTCACTTTTAGCGGGGGATCTGAGGGCAGCCCAGGTATAAAATTCTTGCCCCAGCCTGGAGTTCGCGACAAAGGTACGCAGACACGACGCGTCACGGTCTCGCCTGACAAAATGTTGCGCGCCTCTCGCGAGCTGCTAGATGCTGCCGCCTTTAGGCCGGCTGCCTGTGTGAATGCTGCTCAAATCCTTTGAGTGACTGCACGAGACCGTGATGTTGGTCGCACCAATGCTGCCTGCGTCATGATGTTGACTGCTCGCATCGCGCCAGATGCTTTCCGCGCACAACCGCTGGCTCTTGCCGCTTCCCCTCTCTCCCACGTCTCAACTCAATTGACTTCGGTTGAAGGGGCGAGCAAACGAGCGGGGGATGACATTTTCTCACTTACCAACGGGCAAAGTTGTGGGCTGAGCTTGCTGGCGCGATAGGTAGGGAATGACCAAGTCCGGGAACCTGCGCTCACCGAACACATTTTCCCGCGCGCTTCGGATGGTCATCGATCCTAAGCGTAGCTTGGAGCTCCAGCCCCTAAGCGGGATGGCGAAGAATCGGTGTGTGTGTGTGTGTGTGTCTTTGTTTGTTTTGTTTGTTTGTTTGTTTGTTTGTTTGTTTGTTTGTTTGTTTGTTTCTTTGGGGGGGGTGGGGGGGCACCGCCTTTCGGATGGGTTTTGAAGGGAAACCAAGAAGCTATCCTGGCCTTGCTGGTGATCTGTAGGGAATGACCCGGGGTGTGGGAATGAACCGTTTGGGATTCCCTCAAAGACATCCAAATCGGGGGATGGTTTTTCTCGGGGTCATTCCATTTCTCATTCCCTGCCTATCGAACCGGCAAGTTGAGACAAACCAGCGTGGATTGCACGAAGCCTTCTCAACATCGGCTTGCCCTTTGGGGTTTCCTTCAAATCCCCGCGATTCATCGCGGCACCCGGGTTTTGCGTCGATCACATTGGCACCTTCGAAACGTGGCGCGTCCATAGCCTCCATATTTTCGGGTCGACAAGCTATGAAACAGAATCTGAGCATGTTGTTTTTGGAGTACCTCGGATGTGGGCCAAGTCTAGTTGTGAAGTATTTGTCACTTTCATTGCCACCACTCATTCGTGTCCGCGCAACTGAGGCGACTTTCGCATCTTGGCATTGAAGCCCTACCTTCACTGTTCTTGGCATTTGTTTTTGCTTATTCATTTATTCTGGCTACAAAACACTGTCTTGGATCACGAGCCAAGGATTGGACGGTTACAGGTTTTCCCTGCGAGCTGATGCATGATTCGGTTTTTTCCGACCGTTTTCAGCCTCGATCATTTGTTTTGTCACTATTTGGCTGTGGGTCAAAACCCTGTACCCCTGCTAAACATCAAAGCAGGTGGCAAATGGATGTTCATCCACCCCAGCATGGAGCCGCATGGAGCCATAGGTTATGCAACCCATGGCCATTTGTTCCACGTATTTCGATCCACTTTGCCTAGACGAGTTTTGCCGAATTCGACCACATAGCGACTTCATTGGCGACTGAGGGAGCTTCATTTTCCAGCTCCTTTTGAAGGGTCCTAAGCGAGATCCCGAAGATGATTCGAGTGTCAAGGGACGCAAGAAAAAGCCGCAGTGTAGGCTTTTAGCTGGTTTAGTCGTTGATTTTTCTGTATTTAACCCACTAAAAGTTAGGGCTCTGAAAACGGACAGCCCAGCTCTGAGAATGTTTATGAAGGGAACCCTTGGCTCGGTGAACCATTGGTTTGGCGCGTGCTAAAGTTTCCTCATCTTGCCGGTTGGCAAAGGAACACGATGCGAAGGTTCTGGTTCTGGTCCATTGCTTTCGCACGTTTTCGGAAGGCGAGCATTGCTCCACTTGCAAAGGAGCTCAGGCACAGCGAGACCTCCAGAAATTGGCGGATTTCCGGTTTGCGAATTCTACATTTCCGTGGCCTCCTTCTGATTTCCGTGGCCTGTTTGAAGGGGGCAACGTGGTTTGAAGGGGGCAACGTGGTTTGGATCTTGCAACGGAGGTTGACCTCTTCGCATTTTTGTTCGCATTTGTCCGGACTCGTCAAAAGCCGCCAAATGACTCTTCAGCTCGGCCGCATAAGTTTCACCAGCCTTGACTTAGGTGCCTCGGCAGTTGCTTGCTTGGGCGCTGGCAAAAGTAGGCTATGCAGGCAGACCCTTGTCGTTTCTGAGTACCCCTTTGAGACCTTTCCCTTGGATGGTAAGAAAGGAGTATTTTTTCTGGCAGCGCTAGACTTACCACCCAAATTCTTAGAACAAATACAAGGCGCACTCTCGATTTCCCCGATGACCCATTGGTGGCGGGTACTTGCGCGGTGCTCGATCTGAGGCGTGGCGGACAGCACAGCGCCGGCGCTGCCGCCTGCCCCGTTGGGTGATCTCGTGCAGTACTATCCTTGCCCCCCAGGCTGCGTGGCGCCTTGGAATCCAGCGATGCGGCGAGCATTTTTCGAGGAACTCTCGGTTCAACTCGCTGTAAAGTGTCCAACCCATGGCGATGTTCTGAGAAACACCGCGGACATTTCTCCAAGCAATACTTCGGTGTAGCCGGCGAACCAAATGAGCGCCTGTTCCAATGGGCCATGGGTCTCTGGTTTGCGGGGCTCTAAGCCTTTCTACCATTTGTGCCATCCATCGCCAGTTAGTTGCGATCGCTTTTCTCCATCCACTTTTACCATCCAACAACCGAGCAACAGCGACTATCCGGGATGGTCAAAAGGACCGCCTGGATCGCCAGTTAGTTGCGATCGCTTTTCTCCATCCACTTCACCATCCAACAACCGAGCAACAGCGACTATCCGGGATGGTCAAAAGGACCGCCTGGATCGCCAGTTGGTTGCGATCGCTTTTCTCCATCCACTTCACCATCCAACAACCGAGCAACAGCGACTATCCGGAATGGTCAAAAGGACCGCCTGGATCGCCAGTTAGTTGCGATCGCTTTTCTCCATCCACTTCACCATCCAACAACCGAGCAACAGCGACTATCCGGGATGGTCAAAAGGACCGCCTGGATCGCCAGTTAGTTGCGATCGCTTTTCTCCATCCACTTCACCATCCAACAACCGAGCAACAGCGACTATCCGGGATGGTCAAAAGGACCGCCTGGATCGCCAGTTAGTTGCGATCGCTTTTCTCCATCCACTTCACCATCCAACAACCGAGCAACAGCGACTATCTGGGATGGTCAAAAGGACCGGCTGGATCGCCATTTGCTGCTTTTTTCCATCCACTTTACCATCCAAAAACCGAGCAACAGCGACTATCCGGGATGGTCAAAAGGACTGCCTGGATCGCCAGTTAGTTGCGATCGCTTTTCTCCATTCACTTCACCATCCAACAACGAGCAACCGCGACTATCTGGGATGGTCAAAAGGACCGCCTGGATCGCCATTTGCTGCTTTTTTCCATCCACTTTACCATCCAAAAACCGAGCAACCGCGACCATCTGGGATGGTCAAAAGGACCGCCTGGATCGCCATTTGCTGCTTTCGATCGCAACTCGGCTATCTAGGCGGTCTTGTTTGGGGTGGTCCACCCCAAGATCCTTGACTTCTCGTTGCTCCGGGCCAGCGACTCAAATGCTCAAATTCCGGCCCAACTTCCAGCGCGCCCCTACGCACCGTGGAAAAACGGCCGTCTTCCCAAGCCGCCCCAAAAAGAAGCCTCCAAAAACGCGCCCGAACGGCCCTGAGGTCCCCCAGTAGTGCCCTTCTCTCCAACTTATTCCAACTTATTCCAACCCTGTCTACTGGAGAACTCGGCCCTTTGAAGAAAAAAAACACGGGCACCCTTTTTCTACCCCTCTCTACTAGGCAGAAAGTCCCCCAAATCGGACCCAAACCTGGCGGCCGAGGTGGCAGGCTTCAGCTGCCAGGCGTGCCCGCCAGGCACGTACCGATCCAGGATCATGGATGTGTGCGGCGCGCGCCTTGGCTCGCCTCCTTTTTTTCCCTCGGATTGTTCAGATGCTTGGGGTGTAGAACAATGTCAGAGGGTGAAGGAACCACCAGTTTTCATAGATGTGTTGCTGGTTGTTAGTGGGGTTCATGGATATGTTTCTGGGTTTTAGTGGGGTTCATGAATGTGTTGCTGGTTTTTAGTGGGGTTCCTACGTACGTTGCGGGATTTTAGTGGGGTTCATGGATATGTTGCTGGGTTTTAGTGGTCATCATTTCCGGAGGGGAACACCTCTCTATTAATATATACTGTGGATGGACGAAATCCTGCACCACCTAAGAAACCCTAGAATGATATGATCCCCTGCAAACACCAACAACCATGGTTTCCCATGGTTTTTTGGGTGGTGCGAAATGGATTTGGTCCATCCGTAGCATTTCTTCCTATGGAGTCAACCTTGAACAAACCATTTGTTCTGCACGCCTTGTGGCGGCCAGGTTTCGGAAAAAAAATATCGGCCCCTCTCAAGTCTCAAGTGGGCTCCATGTCAGACGGCCTAGCACAAATTTTTGTGGCACCCCTTGGGGCCAGATGGGCATGGGTTGAAATTAAACCGGCAAAACACCGCAGGTTTCAGTGCAGGTGTCCATGTAGGGTTTCTTCGTGGCCACGTGGGGACCGATTTTGACCCACAGCCATTTCTGTGCCCTGAACGTGGCCCCAAAACTTCTAGGGAGCTAGTGGGGTCCATGCTCGCGAAGGTTCCGAACCGCCCCGATTTTCGGGTGCCGTTTTTCGGGGTGCGCCAAAGCTCGGTCCCGAGCGCAGGTAAAATTCTGGGTAGGTGTCAAGATACGGACTTGGAGACTCGGAGACTCGGACGGCAAAGCCGGATTTCGTTTGTCTACCACCCTCAAAGAAAACGCACACCCATTCAGTCTATGCTGTCTGACTGGTCGAGTTTTTGAGGCCGTGGCGCAGGTTGGTTCGTTGGACTGTAATTCTCGAGGTGGTGGGGGGGCAGCTGCAAGTCCAAGGCTGGGAAGGTGGCTCTGAATTGGGGGGATTGGTGCTTGAATGGGTCTGCCCTCCCGGTCAGTGCCTGACTTTTGGAGGCGCAGCTCAAAGGCTTGGACATTTGGTAGCTCTGCACTTTGCCTCGGTCTGGGGTTGGGCGAGCCAGGCGTAGGACCGTAGGATTGGATAAGATAAAGCCATTAGCGTGCAAGTTGCCGCAAACATTGCGGCTTGAGGCCAAGGTCCACGAAGTCGTGGGTAAGCCCCTGCTTTCGCTTTTTTCTTTTTTTTTTCCCAGATAGCTGAAAGCTATAGGGGTTCTAACTTCTAATAAAGAAGGGAAAGTGATTTGCGAGATTGACGGCTGGGTGCAAGGGGCATGCAGTTTTGGGGTGCTGGTGTAGGTGCTGTTTGGGGTTCTTAATAGTACGGGTGCTTTGTATTTGGATTGACGGCAGGTGCTAGGGCATGCAGTTTGGGTGCTGGTGCAGGTGCTGTTTTGGGGTGTGCAGGTGGCGGTGCAGGCGCACTTTTGCAAGATTGACGGTAGGGAGCTAGGGGGCATGCAGTCTGGGGTGCTGGCGCAGGTGCTGTTTTGGGTGCTGGTGATGGTGCGGGTGCATATTTGCAAGATTGACGGTCGAGTGGTTTTGGGGTGCTGTTTCGGGGTGCTGTGCGGGGTGATAGTGCGGATGGTTTTGAGGCGCTGGTGCAGGCGTGGCGTTTTGCGAGATTGACGGCTGGTGCAGGTGCTGTTGTTGGGGTCCTGGTGACGGCCATGTCTTTTTGCGAGATTGACGGCAGGGTGCCAGGGAGCATGCAATTTGGATTCTTGTGCACGTCCTACAATATTTTTGGGATGCTGATAATCGTGGCACGTGTTTTGCTATTTGGGGTCTATGGTGGTGTATTTTTTATGTTATTTTTTCCGAAGGTCCGAAGGCGAGCACGGGTTGAGCATTGTTTGGGTTTGCTTTTGAAGCCTGCAAGGGTTCTGTGTGCAAGGTTGGTTGCGGTGGTAGTTTTGGTGGTGTGTTTCTACGTTTTTCAGGTCTCCCATAAGGCATGGAGTAGGGGCTGCTGGTGCATGGGGGTCTCCCCAAGGCTTCCGGAAGCTTCCCACCTATTTGAACCAAGGGGGGGGGGGTAAAGGGGTGAGGCTTCTTAAATTGTTGAGATTGACTGGATAAACATTTGACCATGATTTTCTGACAGATTTGGGCCGGGGCTGGGTGTCGAAGGATCGCCCAGAAATTCCATGGCGACTCAAGAATTTGAGTCTTTGGAGTTGCTACCCTAGAGCCTGATTTTTGTAAAGCGACCTGATTTAGCAAACGCAAAGGGCAACCAAGATCCAAATCTTTTGGGCCGTTTGAGTTCTTATCACAGTGCCTGACAAAAGACTGTCAGGATTTTTTGGAACAGAAAGGGGACATGGATTGAATACATGCTAACCATTCTTCAACCTTTTCGGAATTGATTTGGACCAGCTACATGTGGGCTTGCTCTTTTGACTCGTGTCTGTGAGGTGCTTGAACGGGACCTACCAAGACAGTTGGGCAGGCATGGTGTGCCAACCCTGTCCTGATGGCGCGACGTGCCAAAAAGACCGTCCGCCAGTGCCGATTTGGGGCCACTACGTCGTTGAGAACGAGGAATTGATGAGGCGGGCCTTTTGGCAAAAGGACGGGCGAAAGGACAAGCTTGCGCACGCATTCTCTCGAAAGGCCCTTGCGCAAGCGGATAGGGTCAGTGTCAACATACCCAAGTTGGTGTTTGTTCCTTTGGCTTCCCCTTAAACCAGGGGACACAGGTATTTGTTAAATATACAAAAACAAACACAAAACTACTCAATGGAAGCCTTATAAGGGACCTGAACGGGGAACCTGACAGAAGTCAACTTTATTCATCGAATATATACATATCTGCAAAAACATGTATATGGGCGGGGGGGTGCTTCAAGGAAAGTGCAAAGTCCCTTCTCAATGACCCTCTAGTCAGCCACCAATAATTCATTACTTCGTCATAGAATGTGTAATCTGCGTGCGGTCACGCGCAGAGCATCGCAGTATGACAGTTTTTTTTTTCGGGGCACTTCAAAACTGCGAGGTCATATGAGTCATATGGGTATGGGTCAAAATTAAACCACCAGGAATTGGACCGCAGGCTTTTGCCCATGTTTCCATATTGCCAGGGTTTCATTTGTGGTACCTATTTTTGACCCACAGCCATATGGATCTCTGTCCAAAGAACCCCGAAGATGTTGGCCTTCTGTTGGTTTGAAGCCAAGGCTGCGGCCGTTTGCGTCCCCCAATTTTCTGGGACCCTATGGGTGGTGGCTCCTTTTCTTTGGTGCATTTTGCTTGGATGTTAACTTTTTGCCAACTAATGGGTTTCCATTAAACCACCCAAAAGTTAAACTTTTAGCAGGGGAGCAGAAAGCAACCGAGTTTTGTTGGAGATCCTTTGTATATTTGTTTGTCGGCTGGTTTCAAAGGGAACCCCAGTTAATCGGGTGCCAGAGCATTTCGATTTTGAGACACCAAGGAAAAATGTTGAGGGCCAAGTCCGGAGCTTGCGGTAGCGTTGTGGATGTGTTTCGAAATGCTTCGCCCTGCTGTTGAATCTGTTGCTTGTGTGTTATCTGCTTTGAGGGGACATAGCACACACGCAGCTCCACTTCATCTTGGGGCCAAGATAATTGGCTAAAGGAATTGCATTAAGGCAGTCTTTTCACAATGAATGGCACCTTGCAGATCCCTCAACACATTCTGAGTCAATTGAGTACTCGGTTGCTCCGTACGATGAGAACCTTTCAACCTCCGGATTTTCCGCAAGCACAAGTTGGATTAGGGGGTCGTCGCGAGCAAGCGACATGACCTCCGTCAATTTGAAGATATGCCTTGGCCCTAAAAAACATGAGTTGCTCTTCTCGCGCCGTTTGGCCCATGTACTCGTCAGCGTCAGGCTCACTGGGAAATGGATGGGCCCAGATGCCTGTTCCTCCCTTCCCGGCGGAGGCCTCGAAAAGCTGGCTTTCGCAGATGCTCGGCGGAAAAGCAACAAGATATTCGTTTGGGTGTAATTATCTGTTTTGGGGACCCCCCCAAGAAAATATAATAATGGTGGTGTCCCTCTTGGATTCCCTTGGCAAAACACCCAAAAAGGCGTACCACCAAAAATAGACACACCCATCTTGTGGTTTCAACCTGCCAATGGATCGACCAAGACCCACCCACCATTCCTCTCTCAAAAAGCCCTCCGCCTCCAAAGTTCTTGCCCACGCAGTGGGGGAAGAAGTCTTGGAAGTCTGGATTCCAGCCTGGCACATCGCAGCCTACCCGAAACAGCATGCATGCGTCAAAGCCAAGGACTGGAACCGACTTCAATCCAGTTCAATGGATAAACCAAGATGTTCGAAGGAATTGCCGGTGAGATTTGCAGGAAACTTTTATTGTTTCGCCACAAAGAAGTGGCCACTTCTTGGGACTGTCACTGACATGAGACATTGTAAGTATGGCCCAGTTCTTCATGGTAACTTGGTGAGTGTGAAGCAAAGCAAATCCCCTTGCCGTAGATGACACCAAATAGTGACCGTTAAAGAAAGCCGATCATCACAGGGGGGATCTACTATAAGAAACATGGAGGCTACTGCAACACATACAATCAATCTGCATAGCTAAGCTCAGAATTCTTTCACCAAACCGATCGATGTCAAGGGCATGTAGCCGCACATGGGTGTGTCTCAAAAGGGGAGCCCAAAAATGGTGGTGTCGGTGTTCGTTTAAAACCACACAAATTCTGGTACCCTCAAGAAAAACACACCCGTCCAAAGGGTTCGGAACCCTCATTTATGTTTTGCGGCTCGCACTTGTGTCAAGGCGCGTTCTTTTGCAGGGCCGGAACCTGGCACGTTTCACGCACGCGCGCGTACACACACACACACACACACACGAGAGCGCGCGCGCACTTCGCGCGAGTGCGCGTACATGCTACACCCGTTTCACGCATGGGTTGTGTCCATCGTTGCCGCGTAGCAACATTAGTCCAAACAATGCGCCAAAGCAAACCCAAACTGGAAAGATCACCACACATTCAACCCGAAGGCTAGCAACAAGGAACCTGACCGCCAGATTTGTTGGGTTCTAACAATGGGTTCTCGGATGCGGAAAACACGGGATTCTCCTTTTGTGCAAGCTGTGCCCGAAACAGAATCATTTTGGCGTCTTTTGAATACTCCCGGATGACTGTGTCTTTTTTCTGGCACATCCGTCCCGAGAAGTGATTCTTCGAAGCAGGCTGTGCCCCTTTCCCGGATACCCCCGGGCCCCTCTTTCCCTCATTGGAAATGTGGAGCCGTGTTTTCGGAGCTTCGGAAACCCCGACTTTCTGACTGAGGACACGTACAGCGGGTGGCTCAGTTTCCAGATTTTGGCAGACTCCGAGTCCAATCTTTATGTTCGAAATGATCGGTCGAGAGACCTTGCCCGATTTTGGTGCAACGATTCTCCGCGGCATGGGAATGAAACGGTGATCCAAACTCAGTACACCCTTTTGTTTCGGTTGTTCGGGCGCCTTTCTAATTGTAAACGCTTCGCGTTGCCCGCCTCGGCCCAGCCTAGTTTGAGGGAAGGGTCAGGAACACCGAAATCCAGTGTTGGGAAGGTCCGAATCCTACTGAAAGCTTGTGACCGCACCAGTTCGCCCGTGCTAGTTCGATGTTCGGAAGCCGTCCTGCTCGGAAGGTTTGAAATCCAAAACCAAGACTATCTCAGCTGCTCAGTGCCCTTGGAAAAAAAAGGACCTCTTTCTGGGGATGAGCATTTTTAGTGGGGCTTGGCCTCCATAAAAAGGGGAACAATACTGAACAACCAAGACCAACTTTGGGTGTTTGGGCACCTCCATTTCACGTGGCTGGCGGCTTGCCATGACATACATTTCTTGCTCGGTTGCTCAGCCCAAGACAGGTACATGGTGGGAATACAAACCTCCATTTGCTTAAGTACCCCGGAAAAATATCCCGAGGCTAGTCTCAGGCTGGTATACCTTGAGACGCCGAAGGGGCTGGGCCTGCTGGATGACTTGGGGCCAGACACGAGCAGCAGGTCAAGGCCTGGTCAGCCTGGGCTGAGCTGCTTGGGCAGCCGGACTGGGGGGCTGGGGCACGTCAGACAGGCTTGGTAGCTTGAGACCAGTCTCAGACACGTGAGACTGGTCGTTGGCCTGAGGCCAGTCTCAGGCACGTTAGACAAACCTGACCTTGGCACGCTGGGCTGAGCCTGGTGGGCCTAGTGGCTGGCATGCCCTCAGATGCGCCGGGGCCTTGGCTGGGCAGGCTGGGCTGCTGGTTGGGCCTGAAGCTAGTCTCAGCCACGAGGCTGCGAAGCCATGGGCTGGATGACTTGGGGCCAGACGCGAGCAGGAGGTCGAGCCTGGGCTGAGCTGCTTAGCCGGACTCACGTCAGACAGGCTTAGTAGCTGCGTAGCTTGAGACCAGTTTCAGACACGTGAGACTGGTCGTTGGCCTGAGACTTCCAAACATCTTCAGGCCAGATGCTCTTCCGATCCCCGGGCCTTTCTCCACGATGCTTCCTTTCACAACCCATCGCCCGGTGGAATTTCTCAGGCATGGTGTTTGCCGGCGAGGCGAAATCCAGAAAAAGAGTTGGTGCAATCACCTGCATGAAGACGTAACAGGGGAAGAGAGTGAGAGTTTGCAGCCCCCTTGATCAGTTGGCTTGGAGATGTGAACCCTTGGTTCTTGTAGAGAAATGGGCAACCGGCACAGTCCCATGCTCGCTGAGTCTGGGAATCGAGCAAGCGAATCCCACGCTGGCGCGTGGGCCTGTGCGAGCATGCAGAAAAATGCCAAGGCCTCAGTGTCGGGAGTGGGCTACTTCTGCATGAATAACGAACATACCTCTCCGCTGCACCCGGACATTTTGGGTGGAAAGCTAGCCTGCAACGTTGAGTGAATTGCGCCGGCATCTTCTGAGAGCATGGGGGCATGCCACCTGCAGTGAAGAAAGGCACCTGATTGGTTGCATTGAACTCATATCTTGACTGCTATTGGGTTGGATCGTTAGACTTTAACTTTTTGGGAAATCAAGGGTTTTCCACTAAACCCCCAAAGAGCTAAACTTTTTGCAGGGGGGTCAACACCAACCAAGATATCTGCGGGTGTTTTGCCCATGGTACAGCCAGGGCCCGCTGCTTCGTTGCCAGTCCCGTGCAGGAGGATCGCCGCGTGCTATGGAGCCCGGACCCGAATGGAAAAGGAACGCCTAGTCAGGTGTGCCCACATTCGCCTGCCAAGTGGCATGTGCCGCCGGCCGAATGACAAGAGCAGCTCAAGTGCACCCGCGCACGCGCCACGCACCTGAGCACACTGCGTATACGCTTGCCACCCGCCCAGCACTGCACAACTTCGCCTGCCTCAAGTGCGCCGCTCAGCGCTGCATCTCTGCCTAAATGTTAAGAACAACGAAGAAGACCCCTGCCAAATTTGCACCCGCTGCAGCTGCCCACCGAGAGCCAGACGTGGGTAGGGAGCTTGTTAGTCAGTACTGGTTTCATATGAGCCACAATCAAAACCGATTCGGGCAGATGACCGTTAGTAAGGGACAATCCCAACCATAAATAGTTTAGTTGCGGCCGCCTTCTTAATTCTTTACGTGGTTCTGGGTAGACCATTTTGATACCGTTTGAAAATGACTCATATGGGTTCTAGGGAGGCCTGTATAGGTGCCATAGAAGGTGAACCAGGCGGCACCGGGCGCTAAGAATTGCGCTCAGGTGAGGTTGGCAACGTGTGCCTGGAGTTTCACACGGGCAACGGATGCATGAAGTGCTCCCCGAGCGCTTCCAAGCTTTGGAGACTTGGACGTCCTATGGGTGCGGCTCAAGGCTCAGCAGGGGCTCAGGGGCTCAAGGGGCTCAGCGGCTCAGATCTGGCCTCAGGGCTGGCCTCAGGGCTGGCCTCAGGGCTGGCCTCAGGGCTTGCAGGCTTGCAAGTTCGAAGCCTCTTTGGGGCCGGGAAAGTGGTAGGGTCCATGCGCGGTTGAATTCTGTCGTAGGCGCGAAGGGACAAACTCGATGTTTTCGCGGCTCAGGGGCGACGGCCCCTTCTGCAAGGGATGCCCTGCGGACTGGGAACAGTGGCTGAACGCCCTGGCGCGAGCGCCCTGGCGGCAACTGGATGAAAGGGGGGGAGGTGCCTGGAAGTTGAGGATAGGTGCCCCCAGAAAAGCGGGGGAGTTTAATCCCAGTTGCCCAGTGGGTTGCTTCCTTTTTTTTTTGGAAGGGTTCCCCCTTAAAGTCAACCAACAAAGGATGCTGTTTTTCCCCGTGGCCACTGGGCATCTGGGTATTTCATCAGCACATGGGGGACGAATTCCTTGAGCAGGTCCGGCACACACACTGGACACGCATGGAGTGCGATAAAGGAAACAACTGCATTCGAGCTGGCCGATGCTGTTCCGTGGTAGGCGGAACAGGTACTGACCTGTTGGGCTAAGAGTTGCTTTCCCCTCGATTCACAGTTTTAGCGGGCGGCCGGGCATGGTTGATCTTCATGCATTTTCGCTTCTCAGCAGGAACTTGGGTCAACATGTCTCAATTTCTTCATGGGCGCACCAAGAACTCAAGGGCTTGACTCACCGAGCCCTTTCTCTCCACCGACTGCCCTAAGCTGAATGCGTGGCTTCGTGGCGAGGCTGCGGTGCAGATCGTTTTTGCGGAGCTGTGGCCTGGTGAAGGGAGAGACGGCCCCCGGAAAAGGGCTTAAGAAGGGCTTAAAGGGGGCTTTAAGCGGGGGGGGGAAAGCTGGATGTGGGAATGTGGGGGACCTGACTTTTAGACATGGGTTTTGCTGTACAAGTTTCCGGACATCGCCGGGGTTCAAACGTAGTCCCGCACCATTTGCCCCAAAAGGGTGGATCTCGGCGGGGAACTCCACGAGCGTTTCCTGAAGCATTGGGGGGACTGGAGTCCGGAGACGTTTGCTTCGGCCTGCGGACAAGGATCGGAAGGCGTTGGGCTTCTCCAAAAGTGGCCTTACTGAGGTCTCAAGATCAGGGAACGTTGCTCAAACTTGTTGCGAATCCGTAAGCCGAGGAAATTCGTTCTAAGACAGGTTCTGAGAAAAAGTCCTTTGTCTACGGCCTAAACCCGTGTGAGGCCTAGGGCCTAGGCCTTGGGTGTGGGGGGCCGGGGGTGGGGGGGTTCTGCCCCGCTTTTTGTTCTGCTTGAAGGAATTCAGGGTTTCACCTGGAGTCTCCGAGTCTGACCCTAGAAAAACTGGTGGGTGATGACCCCAAACCATTTAAAGACCAACCATTTTTTTGATTTGGGTCAGAAGGAGACTTCAGGTAGTGACAGGTTGCCAATTGCCAATTGCTCGTCCTGACAGACTGAGAAGTGACAAAGGCAGAGCGCGTAGGTAAATGTAATACCTTGAAGTTCAAGCAAATTCGAACAAATTCTTGCTTATACTGCAGCTTTTCTGCTTGTTCGCCTTCTTAGGCGGAAATTCCGGAACGTGCGCGGAAGTGCAACCCTTTATGTTCTGCATGTTCCAACCAACCCTGGTGGAAAAGTGTTGCGAATAACGCTGGGACATCGGTGGGGGATTACGCGGAAATCTGTGGAACATGGGACATATGCGGAAATCTGCGGGCAATCCGCGGAAGCACCAAACCCGAGTGCCAAGCTTTTGTAGCTGGGGACATGCCGAGAGCCAGGATTGGAAGTAATCGTTTTTGACAGGCATGAGCGGTCTTAATGTTTGTTTCGGAAAAATGTGGGAAATTGTTGCTGAGGAGTATCCAGGTATGCGTACAGGCAAACTCGTGTAACACGAAAAACCGAAAAGGCAGAAACATAGCTGAGACTCCTGCCATGTTGTTTTGGAGATGCTCTTCATTTTTGATCTGAGAGCATCAAACCAGGGCAAGAACTAGAGCCAAACGCGCTGTACTTATTTCGCAAAATATTTTCTCACTTCCTGAGTTCATGGACTTCAAACTTTTTGGAAGGACCATTTTAGTGAAAAATAGAAACCCTAGGGTTCAACCCACCATTAAAAGACTGGGGGTTCCTAGAACCACCATTAATTACCTAAGGATTGTCGTCATCCAAATTGGGTTAACCATTCCTTTAATGGGGTTGGACGTTGTTTTGGCCAGTCCGCTCGATCAGAAGTGAGATCTTGCGCGGTGACATGCATTTAGGCGCCTGGAGAAAGGCCCGGGAAGGAACCAAAGCATGTGTGGCCAACGCCAAAACTTTGGTGCATTTTGCTTGGATGTTCGGACTTTAACTTTTTGCCAACTAATGGGTTTGCCATTAAACCACTAAAAGTTAAACTTTTAGCAGGGGAGCAGAAAGTAACCGAGAAAATGCGACACAGAGAAACACCTAAGAGAAACACCGGGGGGTTGATCGGTATTCCCTTCAGCACCCCCTTATTTCTTTTATTCCCTTTAACCGCAAGTGAACCACCTACCTGGAGAGGTCGG